CCCCAACATCCCCTCTTGTCACCGAGGGGTGGGGCGGGAGCCACTCTGGGCAGGGGAAGACAGCATGTCTGCAGGATGGGGCGCAGGCTGCAGCTCACAGGAACAGATGCTGCAGCCGCATCCACAGTGGGTGGTGGGCAGCCCGGGTTGCAGGGAGGTGACCATGAGGAGGCCAGAGAGGGACAGGTGGACAGGTGCCAGCAGACAGGTCAGGAGAGCCCTACGCATGCCTCACCTGTGGCAAGAGATGCCACTGCCCTGGTGTCAGTGCGGACCAGGTGTGGTGCCACACGCTGCCCCGGCACAGCCAGGCAAGCTGGGGCCTTCAGGGCCGGCGTGACATCCGGGTGCGCTGTCTGGCTCTGCACAGAGGAGTGTGGAGGATGGGTGGTGGGAAGGCGGGCAAGCAGTGGGCTCGTCCTGTGCAGGGTCTGGGGAGCGGGAGGGGAGCTGGGGAGCAGGGGCTGCCCATGGGCGATGCATGCACGGGGTATATCTGGGCAGGCGTGAGCCCAACTGGGTGCCACACGGAGGGTGCAGACTGGCCAGGGCGGCAGGCTTGGACTAGCAGCAGCAGGGCCCACAGAAATGGAGGAGGTCTGAGCATGGTGGGCCTCGCAGTGCAGGGGAGGGTCTTCGTGAACCTCCACTCTGTGGGGCCTTCCCTGTTCAGGCTCTTGTCCCCTTGTGGCCTTGTAGGGCTGGGGCTCCACCCACTGGCTGTGCCCTGGCATCTGTCCAAGGTGGAGGGCCAGGAGGCCCGTGGAGGTGGGCCTTTGAGCTGCACCTCCAGGGTTGGAGATGGGACCTACTGAGGCTGGGAGTGGGGTGAGGTCCTGAGGCAGCACGGGGAGGGGGCAGGCTTCGATCTCCAGCCTCCCCCAATTTGCCTTCCCATTTCTGCCAGGAGGAGCCGGACTCTGCCGAGCACTGTCCCTCCAGGTGTCCAGTGCCCGAAGTGTCCCCACTGACTCAGAGCAGGCTCAGAGTCACCCTGGAGAACGTGCAGGGCCTGCCGGCTGCCTGCATACAGCTGACCCCTTGGCCATGGTGGCTCATCAGGCAGCTCCGGAGGAGCACCACGTGCCCCCTACTGTGGGACCAGGTGCCACCCCAAGCAGTGGCCTGGTGGGAGGACGCCCCCCCCTTCTGGTGGGCCCCGTGGTGAACTGTGAGGGCGCTCCAATCTCCTGGCTCTCAGGCCACTGGAAACCCCTACTGGAGGCTCTGCTCTCTGTGCTGTTGGGGGTCCAGGTGGATGAGAGTCCCAGGCTGGCTCAGAGGTGTCCCCTTGTCAGGAGCCACGGCAAGTTTGGAGAGTAGGCCTCTCCGAGACCTGTGGCGATGGTTGGGAGCGCCCATGTGGGTGGCAGGAAGCAGTAATACCTTGAAAAGGAGCTGGTTTGTGGGGCTAGGGAGCAGAAATCAGTATGGCTTTCAGAAGGGCTGGGCTGGGCCATGCTGCTCAGGGCCCTTTCTAGCCAGCGCCAGATGTACACGGCCTGGACACACGGAGCTCAGTGCCACTTAAGAGCAGGCGTGCAGTGCTGCAGGAGGGTGAGTCCCACTGAGTCAGAGTGGTGGAAGCCTGCGGCCTGGAGGCTGGCCCTGCCCGCTGCCCTTGCCTGCGTCTGGGGACCCCAAGTCCTGCTCAGTCCTGGCCCCTCCCATCAGGGCCTCACCTCCAGGCTGCCCAGTGGGCAGAGCACCCTGGCCCAGCCGGCAGACCCTATGCCTCCTGCTCACGTCCCTTTGCCCCTCTGGCGCAGGCCCTGCAGGCTCAGGGAGGGGCTTCCAGGAGGACCCTCTCTATCCAGAGGACACTCTCCAACCCGGTCTCTGCCGGAGGAGAGGGAGGAGGCTAGGGGAGAAGTGAGCAGCCTTCTCTCCTGTGGGGCAGCCCGAGGCGATTCTTTGCACAAAATAGTAGTTCTAGTTTCATCTTATTCATTAACTAATTGTGAAATTAGCAACTCATTTTCTTCCTAGTTATTTCCCTTTGAAGTTCCATAAAAATCTGAACTCCCTCTCAACTCCCGCTCTGCAGTGAAGCAGAGCAGGCTGGGTCTCTGGGGTGCCAGAGGGCAGGGGGCAGCCAGGGACTCTGTTGGCCCAGAGCGGAGAGTGCCGCCCCCAGCGCGGAGGGCATGAGGCCCTTGGGCTGCGGCCTGTGTGGGCGCCCGGGGTAGGCCGGAGCTCGTGCCGTGATCGATGGGGCTCATATTCCATTCACATATGACGCCAGCAGTTTTCCGTGGTCTGGCTTCCACGGCGGTAGTAAAGTTTTTAATTAGGAAAGCTAATGAGATCGATTAGTCATTAGAAGTGACCTCGGGATGGCGGGCGGAGAGGGCTGCGTGTGTGGGCCTGATAACGCGGCGCCGGGGCCTCGTTGGCAATAAAGGCGCGAGGGCTCCATCTGAGTGAAGCGTGCCACGGGGAATGTATCACGCGGAGGAAAAATTACAGTCCTGGGAGCCTGTAATGAAGGGAATTAAACCAACATCCGATCTCAATAACAGGGCTCTTCACACAGCCCCTCAGCCGCCCGCCTGTGTCCTCTGGGTGCACAGGGCTGGCACACTGACAGGTGAGGAGGCCCAGCCCCAGGCCGAGGCCACACCCCCTGCCCCACTCTAGCAGGGAGGTGCTTTCTGGAGCTAGGACAGTCCTGCAGGCAGTGGGGTGGTGGCTTCCTGTAGGAGGCAGCCTCTGCCAGACCAGGGAAAGGTAATGGGCTTTGACCCTTGAGGCTGGGAGCAGGTGATTTGAGCCCAAGGGCTGCTGTACATTGGAGCTGGGCCAGATCTGGGGGCTCAATGTGGAGGGGGTCGAGGCTGCTGGTAGGGGAACTCGAACCCTGGGAGCCTAGGACGAGCTGGAGGGCCTTCTCATCTAGTGCCCATCCCAGAGGAGCTGTAGGCTGAGTGGACGTGGTCTGCGGCCTGGAGCAGTGGCAGGCCAAGGCCCTGTGTGTCACTGGTGCGCTGGGCTTGGGGGAGGACAGGGTGCCCGGTCCAGATGTGGAGGCCAGCCAGGATGCAGAAGGACTCCTTATATGCTCAAGCCCTTGGTTGATGTTCGTGGTCTGTGCTTCCTGTAAGACCTGGAAAACTGTTGACACCACTGTGTGCCAGGTTGAGTAGTCCCAGCACATGGGTGGGGCGCCCAGAGCTGCGGATTTGCTGACTTGGGTCACTCTGGCCCAGCAGTCTCGTCCGTCTCTGGCCCAGCAAGGTGGCCCCAGCGCCTATGTTCTCCCTGAGCTGCTGTCCTTAGGAGCGCCGACCAAGTGGGCAGGCCTGGGGTGTGATGGCGGTGTGGGCGCAGCCAGGCTTGGCCTGGACAGGCTGCTGCCCCGGGGCCCTGCCGTGGGCCTGGAGCAGAGGCTCACCGTAGCCAGAATGCTCTCACTTGGGCTGGACTTGTGCAGCCCACTCTTCCCTTGAAGGGCCAGCTGCAGGGACAGAGCGTCCGGTGGCTCTTGGCGGGGTTTGACCCCGTGCCGGGCCCTTCCACTGGCAGCTGATGGCAGTTTGGGGCAGGGGTGCGAGGGAAGGGGCTCTTCACCAACACCGGCCACAGTGGGAGGCGCAGCAAGGCTTGCCCTGCTTGTTGGCCTCCCCACAGGCTCCATGTGACTAGACCAGAGCATGGAGGTGTTGGGATCCCTTGCTTCAGTGACGCTGGTCCTGTGTGCAGGACAGGGTGCATCCTGGGGCCTGGAGGCAAGGGGGGGGTCCCAGGACCCGTGGGACCCTGGCTGTAAGGGAGTGGACCCCTTGGAGCTCGGGCTAGGACTCCTGCTGGGCTGTGCCCAGGCCTGAGAGGGAGCCTAAGGAGAGCGCCTGCCGTGTCTGGCTCTGCGCTGGCTCTGATTGCCCGGGCCATTAGAGCTGTGCGCTGGGAAGGCTGGGCATTAGGTGTGCTCCTCGCAGCTCTGGCAGTGCTGGCTGTCAGGTGGGAGAGCTTGAGCAGAGCAGGTCCGGGCTAATTGTGGGAAACGTTCAGCAAGAAAAAGGCATTGAATAGGTCACCCTACAAGGCGTGATGGAGACAGCGATTAAGGACATAAATCTGCCTGGGCCTGGCCGTAGGGAGGTGACAGCAGGGTGGGGGTACAGCGCTCTCTGGCACCCTCCCCTGGGACGTGCCCTGACAGGAGCCTCGCCTGCCCTGTCCCCGTGCCCTGGTTGAGGTAGCCCACACACCTGCTTCTCACTGCCTGGGAATCAGGGTCGGCCTAGGGTCTGGGGGCTTCCTGGTATAGACGACTGCCTGCAGGGGCTAGGGGCTCGGCCTGCATGTGGACCAGGGCCTCAGCATCGGGGCCTCAGCTTTCCTTTTGGGTGTCCCTGGCCCATACCCAGCTCTCCTGGTGGCCTCATGGCAGCTCCTAAAGCCTGGTCTGCCAAGCACTCTGGAGCAGGTAGGTGCCGCCTGGGGTGGTGCCAGAGCTGGGGCGGGGAGTGCGAGTGTGGAGCCTCAAGGCCCCAGGGCAGCCTGTGGCCTCTGCCACCCTCTACTGACCTGTGCATCTGCCTGGGTCTCTCCGCAGCACCCAGCCTGCATCCCCTGCGGACTCCACCCTCCAGCAAGGTGATCAAGACCCGCTACCGCATCGTCAAGAAGACCCCAGCCTCCCCTCTCAGCGCCCCACCCGTTCCCCTGGCACTGCCCTCCTGGCGGTCCCGGCGATTGTCGCTGTCCAGGTAGGAGGACTTTATCTGAGCACCCCTAGACTTGGGCTGGGCTGTGCAGCTCAGGCTGCAGGGGGCCCGAGGGTGGGGAGTTAGCCCCCGGAAGCCACCGGTGTGCAGCTCTGCCCCAGTGCCCCGGCCAGCCTGTGTGCACCACTGGCACAGGAAGGACTGGCATGCACATGTGCCTCCACTGGCGTCAGCAAGCCTGGAGCTGGGCCTGTGCTGGGGCGGCAGCAGTGGCTGCCCTGGGCTTCCGGGGAGCTCCCAGGAGGGCCCAGAGCCATTGCAGTCAGCGGGCTCCTGCGGGCTCCTCCCAGCCCTGCCCCCTGCTCAGTCAGCGGGCTCCTGCGGGCTCCTCCCAGCCCTGCCCCCTGCTCATCTGCCCCCGCCCTGCCCTCTGGCTCTTCCTCAGAGCCAGCCACCTAGCCTGGACTCAGTAGTAGCTCAGGCTGAGAATTGCAGCACTGAGCTGCGCCATGTGGCCACAGCCCAGCCTGCCGCTCTGGGTCAGCTGCCGGGTGGGCCACCTGCTGCTGCTCAGGGCCTCCGGCTGGTGAGGACCAGGCTGGCCCTGCGCATACAGCAAGCGCACCAGGCAGGGAGGCCCTGCCCTGCGGTGTCTGTCCCGGGCCGCCACGCTCTGTCCTCATCGCGAGGCTGCACAAAGCTGGGCCCTGCCGCTGACTTTCTGGAGCAGTAGCTGGGAGTGTGTTTTAAATGAATTTTACTGCACTTTTTGTAATATTTTTGTTTTAAATAGATTTATAAGTATCTTGGGGGCTATTTCTACAAATTTATGAAGATAATTTTTACTCTCTCGATAAGGTTAAATTTACACCTGCTATTTCCATATTAATTCACATTGCTAAGTGGATCTAATTTTCTCCCGTCCTCCTATCTAGTGAGCGTGGCCTTTCCTAATGCAATTTCCCCCTCACTAAATCACTGTGATCGGGAGTCGTGATCGAGCTAAATTAACTTAAATTAATTTACTTAATAAGAGTCCCAGATCACTGTGAATGAGGTTCAGATTTATTGATTCTCCACTCTTGCCTCCCCCTGTGTGGTCGGCATTCACCCTGGCCTGGCCTCTCCTGGGGCATGGCTGGGGGCCTGGCGATGGCTTCTTTAACCCAAAGGGCTTCTCCCTCTGGCCTTGAAGGGCCAAGGAAGCCCCAGGTTCAGGTTGTGCTGGGCCCGGGTCAGGAGGGCCCTAACGGAGCCGCTGTGCAGAAACGGGCTCCAGACCCCAGGGAGTGAAAAACCCACAAGAGGGAGATAGCAGGTGCTGCCCTGCGGGCCTGAGCAGTGGCCACCTTGCATCTGCAGCCCGAGTGTGGGTCTCGGAGGCCTTGGGGACAGTGACTGCCCCTAGGCTGGGCCTGTGTCACCCAAGGTCACCTGTGCTCTGGAATGGCTGCCTTCTCAGCAGAGGGCCGCCAGCCAGCTGCCCCACCACTGTCAGCTGCACGTGCCTCGGCCCA